CCGTAGAAATATTCTCCTGCCATTAATTCTTCAAGTTTAATTTTCTTGAAACTTAAGAGTTTCTTGGGTTTACTTAATGACATAAAGTCAGTCTCTTAATGCGCCAAGTGAAAGCATGTCCTTAAAATAGGGTGCAATGAAAAAAATGCAGTTGTTGGTGGAAGTAGCCTTAGAGAGCAGTGACAGAACTTGGGCTGAAGTTTAGGTCTGTGATGTCTAAAAACCAGGTTGAGTGCGTCATGTGGGCCATGATATGGCCATCTGCTGTGCAGGCTGTGGTTGGTATCCTGTAGCACAACCTGGTAGGTTGGAAAAGGGAAACCAGTTTCAATGTGCAGCTTTCTTAGAGGCAGCCTGCGGTAGAGCATGAGGGTCAGCAAGAGTGGGCATCTCCAGTTACAGTTACATTGTGTGTGTTCCTTTTCTTTTCATTGGGTTTCACAAAGCCCTGTCTTCTACCAAACAAACCAACTCTCTATTGTTTTTGTGGGATTGGTGGTTTTAGTGGTTGGGGAGATAAATACCTAGAAAGTTTGTTGAAAATGTCTTTATTTCTTTTGGGAACAGGAATGCTTTTGGAGTTGAGGTTAGCTTGGTTTTTGGGTGTTGTTTTGTATTTTGTAGCCACATTTATTGGGGCTGTGCAAGCATAGCTTGTTTGCCTTTTAATATATAGCCTATGCTCCTGAAATGGTGTATAGATAGTCAGTGGAATTAATTGATCCTTGAGTTTTGTTTTCCTAGCTTCAGCAGCAAAGTTACCAGCTTTAGCCTCTGCTCAGTTTGCTCCAATACCTTATCTTTTTGTGTGTTCTTTTGAAGATCACCCTATCCTTGTGCTTCACCTTCCCATCTCACACCCCCCCTCGCCTTGTTTTATTTGCTTGCACGGGAGATAACATGTATTTTGGAAGCTCAAGAGAAGAGAGTAGATAGGGTCCATCACTTGGGCCTTCCTGTCTGTCTTCCCTTATTTTGCTCTAGACAGCAGTAGTAGCTGCACAGGGATAGGAGGTGAAAGGCTTCTGATCTTGTTGTTGTGTGGGTTTTTTTGTTTGGTGGTGTTTGTTGTTTTTTTTTTTTTTAATGGATTTTGAATGGAGTCCCCCCTCTCTACAACAGGTAGAACTTTGTGGCTTTTGAGTCATAAAGTAGTGTGGTATCTAATGTCTCAGCTCAGTGTTAACTACACAGTTAACAGAGAGAACTAGACCTCTGGGTGCAGTGAAAAGACTAAAATAATCACTTAGCTTCTTATTTTCCTGTCTCCTCTGACAGATAAGTGTTAATAGTCAGAAACTACTGATGCTTTTACGATGTGACCCTGGCAGTCCAGTACCTGCTAGGGATGTGACAGCCATGTTAGGCTTTTTAAGCAGATGACTTTGGTCATTGTCTGTGAAGGACTGCTGCTGTAGTCTGTTCTCAAAGGGGTATTTCATGAATGTGGGAATCTGGCAGCTGAACTGAGAGCATTTGATGATGTTCTAGAGGAAGAAGAGTTCATGGTGCCATGCTGAGTTTCTGCCCTTTTCTGCAGCAAAATCGAGGTTTATGTACAGCCTTCTGTATGGAACTAATCCTTCTGTAATCTGAATCTTGGACAGCATATTACTCTGGCAATTTGTAGAATTTGCCAGAATTGAATCACGGCCTGCTGCATGTGTGTGAATAGCCTCTACGTCGTTATCACCTCTTGTTGCAGGACCCAGAACAACAGTTTAGGTCCAGCTTTTCAACAGTTGTCTAATTCTGTCACTGCAATAGGAGGAACTGAAAAGAGGGAACATTGTGATGACTGTTCACTCCTTCCAATTGAAAATGTGGTGTTTTTTGGGATTTTTTTTGTTTCCCCTGCATGCTACAGGCGTATGATCCCTAGGGTCTGAATGGGCTTTTTTATCAATGTTAGATTTGTTCTGCATTTCTTAGCACTATGGGGTAAAAGGTGAAAGAAAAACAGGGAAGATATGAGTAAATGGTTAGAGAAGAGTTGAATCCCAGAGAGGGGGAAAACAGATTAGTAGAGAAAACTGTCTGCAGGTAAAATTGCTTCCCGAGTTTTCTTTGGATTGAAGGTCCACCAGTGATGATAATGATGTATAACCCTGAAATCCAGGAGGTCACTGCTTAGATACTTGTTTGACTAATCTGTTTTCTTGTTGAAAGTTGCATATCTGTTGTCAGCCTGTGACGTTTACTTAAGAATCTCAAGATTGGCATCACAGTCTCTCTTTGGTGCTAGTTTTGAACTGAAGACCTGAAGGTGGTAGAGAGGCAGCCATGAATTTGCATTTCTGTATCAGTTGTAGAGGGTGACCGATTAGCCCAGACAGAGAAGATTGAAGATGGCTGAGCATTTGTTAACCCCCTTTTTTTTAAACCTTTTTAAAGACTTGTAATAACACTTGACACTTCTCTCAGATTTTGCCCTAGGTATGCATGCAGTAGTAATAATTTGCATTAACTTGAAGATTACTTTCTTGTAATATCTTGCTTTTTATTGCCATTTCTGTCGAAGTAACTTCTAATGAAGAAAACACCTAATATACAGACTCAGATTTTATTTTCGTACTTAGTAGGATGTCCCTCATTTTGACTAATGTTGCTGTGAGGTACAGCAGTCAAGGAGCAACTGTTAGGGTATTTGGTATGATTTTTGCTTTGAAGCTGGGAGATATCTAAGTTGTTACTGATCCTAGTGAATAGCCATTCTCTCTTCCCTTGTGTATGCTGTTTGGCAAGCAGATAACTGACCTTACAGTAGAAGCTGAAGCAGCTCTTTGAAGGCTCTCAGGTAAATTGCATACAGCTAAGCAGCTGGTATTCTGACTGCGTACCCCAAACCAAAAAGATGTACTGAAGTTATGGTGAAGCAGGTCTTCCAGTTAGGCAACCTTAAAACAGAACTTTCTTTCCTTTTCCTGCACTGAGCATGCAAAGGGATCCCAAAAGGCTCTGTACATAAAATGTAGCTGTGCGTTAGAGCAAGGCAACTCCTTTAGAAAGAGACAGTTTGGAACTGCTGGGGTGAGACAGGTTGAACAGAGATGTGCCCTTGCTCATGGGAAGAGAGGAAGTGGGTTTCTTCTGCCAGTCCTGCAGCTTTTTTCTGCCTTGTCACAAGCCTGGGGGACTGTGTCCATGAAGGGCTCCCATGCCCTTTCACAGACTTCTGCAGGCCGTGGGTTCTTGTTTGTCATTTCCTCCTCCTCTGTTTGGGCTGCCTTTGATGCCTTTTGCTTTTTATTGCTCTCTTTTGCTTTTAAACTTGTTCTCGGTCACTCTTGGGGAAGAAGCATAGTCTTTGTTCCTGAGGGGTTTCCAGCACAGAAGCTGTAGCGTGAGCTAGTCTGAGAGTCTTGCTGTCCAGCCACAGTCTTCCTAAAGACCTGTTATATACAGCGACCTGTGAACAAACAGGTATCTGTTATCTGTTGGAGGTGAATTGGTATCTAACTTAATTGAAGGATTGAACTCTGAAATCATTACTGTGCTTCACAGAAAACAACAATGTAATGTCTGTTTCCTTTGTCTAATTTTGACAGGATGTGTGTATTTGTAATTGAAGATGTGAAAATGCAAGTAAGTGAAATAGATCCAAATGTTTGCTGGAAGAACAATAATAGAATTGCTGACACTAATAGAATTTAATGATCCATTGACTGATGATATCTAAATGAGCAAGAAGAAAGGGAAATCCTAATCCTTCCTGCATATTCCCCCAAGCTTGTTACAGTTTGGGAACTAATCCATCAATGCATGTTACCTATGCAAAGAAGGTGAAAACTCTTCTGTTCAGCTGATTATAATGGGACTGTTTTAAAGGATCACCTTGATTGTGCTGGTTGCATTGTACTTGAGTCTTTCAAATTGCAAATCTCGGTGATTATGTGCCTGGCAGTGCTTTTAACACTGGTTTGCTTGAACATAATTTATAGCTCCTGTATTATGCCTTCACTCGCAAATTTTGCAGGCACTTTTACTGGTTATCATCACAAAAGACATTCACTGTCTTTTGGGATTTAAGCAGAATACTGACTGTTCATTACAAGCAAAAGGGTTTTTTTATTTTTTAAATTTACCTGGGCTCTTTAGAAATTAGTTATGGTGGGGAGTTCCCCACTTGTGAAATGCTGCAAAATACAAAAAGGTATGTCAGGTCTGATGTTGCATCTGAACTATCTGTGCAAGAGTCTTAACATCTTACACTTTCAAATACTTGTAGTTAAAGTTTTATAGGTATCATCAGCAACTAGTTTAGTTTAAGAATGCTATTAATTATGTCAGTCTTCTAGGTCCTATAGGGTGGCTCCAGAGGATTACCACCTTTCAAAGTAGGTCTGCAACAAAGTATTGTTATTTTGCTGGATCCCTTTCATTTGTTTTCTGACTGGTAATCCCAACTGCAGCTTTTCCAGATGGGAGTGTAGTGACAAGCACTGCGTTTTCCTTCCAAGTGGCTAGTGAGCACTTTGTAGGCTAGTCCTAGGAGGGATGATGACCTTTGCTGGTCTTTCCAGGTGCTGCTGCTATGTTCAGTAGTTTTGAAGAGCTTGTGGCATGAAACATCAGCCAGCTGTTGCCATTCTGTTTTGTCTCTTTGTTTTCTTCTCTCCATTACATGTGTGGCATGCACTTTTTAAAAGCTTCCTTTAGTATAAAAATCATACTGATAAAAGCTAGTATTTTGCGGTCTTATTTCCAGCTGATATCAAGTCTTTGTTATTGGATGAATTTTATTTGTAGCATGAGAGATTTTTATTCATAGAAGAGAGGATGAGGTGATATGAAATGGGGAAGAATGTCAAATAAAAGGGGTTAAGCTCCAGGAAGTTAAAAGTATATATAATATGCATTTTGGAGGTGAAGGAGTAAAGGTGTGTATTGAAAGAAACCATACTTAAAATGTTTTCAATTCCACAAGCCTGGGAAGTCTAAAATTCTGCTTCAGTAGACATCTGGTTGGTTTTTTTTTTTTTTTCCTTCCAACAGGTCGTGACAATGCATGTGAGAAGACTTCATACATGTTTCTGCGGAAAGAACTTCCAGTGCGACTAGCTAACACCATGAGAGAGGTCAATTTGTTGCCTGATAACTTACTTAACAGGCCTTCAGTTGGGCTAGTGCAGAGTTGGTAAGTTTAAAAGTGGACTGAAGAATTAGTGTAAAACTGTATTGCTTTACTTTCAACTTGACTTGAACTGTTTTGAACTGAAGTCTTTTTCTGCCTTGAACTGTTTATAGTGCATGTTTCTTGTCAAATTGAAGTTTGATTTTCTTCCGTCTAACATTAGTAAATACTCTAAAATGGATCTTAGAGATAAGAATTTGTTAGTCTTTGAAGTTAGTAAAAGAATACTGTTGTCTCCCAGATAACTAGAATCAGTCAGCAACTTCTAAGAGCAAGCTTGTTCAATATTCCTTACTGTATTGCACCCATGACTTCTTGAAATAGCTGTTCTTTCTCCTTATTTTTCCTTTATCAAAAATACTAAAAGAAAATTTAAACCTCATCTGTACTTTTCATTGCTAAATCTATAAAATGACCTGGTGTTCAGGGGAAGTTATGGAACGGGGCAAAACTCTGGTGTCATCCAGTAATTAACATTCTGCATTGTAATAACTAGTGTATACCCAAAATTATTTAAAGTCCTGTCATCTTTTCCACAGTAATTATTTTCTAGGTTACTTGCATGTTCAGTGTGGTTTGGAGAGTACTGCCTTGTGTGTTTTAAGTTCTAAAAAATAGTTATTCATGGGTTGTTTAGTGTGTTTCTATGTACAAATACTTGATCCAAAGAATTTATGTAAAAACATCTTCGCAGTATACAATAAACTTCCCTTTGTGAGTAACAGTTTTATCTAACTGTAACAGCAGCTATGTTGTAGGCTTCTGTTCAGTCTAGCCCTTGAACTAAGAAATTTCATGTTGACGGTACATTTGCTGCTGGATTTGTTCTCATTTATCAAGCTTCATACTTAAGAAATATAAATTAGTATATGTGATATTGTGTACTTTGGTTTAAATATGTTTGTCGATGAAGGGTAGCACTAGCTGTCTTGATGACCACTTCAAACATAGTGATTAAGTGCTTCATATAACTGAAAATGCTGTGCAGCCACACAATAACAATCATTTTGTGGTTAAATGGCAGCTTGCAAGGTTTGAAGGCTTGTATCATCTGTCTGATGTTACCAGAAGCTGTTATGCCAAATAGGAAAGAGTGGATAATATGCAGGTCTTTTAGGCTTTTTTAATCCAGATGACTTGTATAGCTGTTTTCAGTGAAATATGGACACGCGGGTGAATGAAGAAAAGAAAATAATATTTCTATAGTGACTCTTCAGCATAACGGTAGTCCAGGTATATGCTCTGTGCACAAGCTTCTGCCCTGGTAATAGAGAGTCAAGTAACATTGGATCACTTCAGGCAAAGGAACTGAATGGGTGTTTAGAGTGGATGCCCCCTTCAGAATTTTTGCTTTGAGGTTTGAGGACTCAAGGGATGGCTTTATGGCTACAAGAGGTACTACTGATTTTAGAAAAGAGGAAAATTAAAAACTTAAAACCCAAAAATGTCCCATGTGTGTTAGAATATATAATGACTTGTCCAAACAATGTACTTTATATGATAATGTGATTTGCATTGTCACAGCTGTAGACTGATAGTTTTCTGATAAATGGGCCAAAATATCAGACTTTAATGTGATGAAGAAGTTCAAGCAGACATTCAACCCAGAGATGGAAGTTTGAAATCAGAATGTTTGTTGTGGTGTTCTTCTAATTTTGGTTTTTAGTTAAGTAGCAGTTTTTGTGGAAAAGAGTATGTTCATTGAGATTGTGTAAGAATATTTCTGTGACCTTATGTCAGAAGTAACAAACATAAACGTAGCATGTTGTTTTCCTGATTGTAGATGTGGACTTGAAGGAGCTTATTTTTTATCTTTCTGTTTAGAGGTTTTTAATTGTTTTTTTTAAACATTTATCTGTAGATTATAAGGCCTAGTGGTATACTGGTAATGAACCCTAGGCAAAATTTACTCTATCAGCTTCTGAAAAGACCAAAATAAAACAGTGACCTTGAGTGTTATGCAGCTATGTTGATAATAGGTTTTGAAACATATTTATAATTTCTTAGTGTGAAGTTCAGGCATATCTAGAGAGATGCCTGAATTTAGGCAGTAGAATAAATAAATATAGCTGTCTTGTGTACTTGTAAAATTAAAAAACATCTTCTTGACACACTTGTTTGCTTCAAGAAAAAAATATTTTTTTAGATCAGATTTCACGATAGTTTATTTTTACTGTGCCAGAGTAAAATGGTAATTCATTAAAATGCAAAAAAAAAAAATCTGACGTACATTTGCCACAACTGAGCAGACATAATTTAATGCATTATTCACCTTAATCTGTTTATCTGCTAATTTTCGGTAATTTATGTAGTCACCAGCATATTTATGATTTATTTATGATACCACTTTCCACTAGAAGCCTGGTTTTATGTGCTTTTCGGTGAGACTCCAAATTAGCCGAAGCTTTAAACTTTGATTTCCCAGTCTATGCTTTCATGTCAGCATGCCAAAAAATACAAAAAGCTCCTATCTTAAAGTAGGTTTTATTTAGAGTATGGTGGCTCTGTGAATAGAACTTAGGTTTGGTGGAGTAAGGAAACAAATTGACCCTGTGTACTCTACAGCATGGATCCTTCCTTTCCCATCTATCTTTTGTCCAGCCAGGCAGTGACATTCTGGATTACATGCATTTCCTAGTCCCTTATAGGTCCCTTGGGAAGGAAACTCAACTTGCCACTTCTGAGAATATGCTCCCTGCTGCAGGCAAACCGTGTTTTCCTCTCAGTTCTCTAATCTGTCTTCATGGTCATGCTATAGGCACTTTGCTTCCTGAATCATGCTTCTTGACTGCTCTGCACTGCCTAACAGATTTTACAGCTGATTACTTGATTGCTCTCAGGAAAGGTATGGGGTTTTTTTCTCTCCTTCCTTTCTGGGTTCCTTTAGGTTGATGCGTGCAGCAATGAGCATAGGCAAGACAGCTGTCCTTCCTTTGTGTTGCTTTGCTGTGCTTTTCTGAATAAAGCTGGCATTACCCAGAGAGTGAACTATGAACAACAAAAATAGTTTTGCATTTCAATCTGTGCAAAGGTAAAATATTACCTCTGTCCCAGTTTGAGTTTATAGCTTGTTTTATGTGTATGTTTTGTATGGAATAGCAAGGGAAGGAATGAAGTGAATAGAAATAATAGCACGGTTAATGTGTTCTGACTGTGAGCTGCAGTGACTCCAAATAACAGACGGATCAGCAACCAGTGTGCTAGGGATCAGCAACTTGTTTTCAGTTTTTCAAGATTAATGGGCAGCATCCTAGTTCCGAAGAAACGGGCCTTTTTTAGGCCAGCTTTCAGAGGGCGCTCTAGCTATAGTGTGCTGCAGTTAGGATATTGAACATGTGGCTGAACTGCATAATAAAGGATATCATCACTAATGTGATGTGACGAGGGAAAATAGTTACAATAAAACCTTATAATGGATAAGGTCAGAGCTTGTAAAATATCTAAAGTGCGTGTGATGTTTGCACAATATGCTACTTAGTCTTATCAAAAACTCGTATTTTAATTGACGTTGACTCAATGCCTCTTCTTTAGTACTTTTACCTGGACAAGGCTATGAATTTCTATTTGCCTCCTTGGAAAGACCCATTAGAGAAATCAATACAGCTTGGGGATTAATAATTTTTTACATTCAGACTATGCTAACAAGATTGTGTTACTATGGAGGTATGTTTTATCTTTTCAGTGCTTTGCTGTTAAATCCTAAAGGAAAATCTTGCTGAAATACAGATACACAAAAAGCAAAAGTATCTTGCATGAGTTCTAAAAAAAAAAAAACCCAAATGAAACGACCAAACCTGGAGCTGACATTCTGAGCATTTATAGTGATTTTATGTGTGAAATGTGCCATTCTAGAATTACTGCATTTGGCAGACTAACAAGAATTCAGTCTACCTGGCAGTAATTAACTAGGCTAAAGGCTGCTTGAAACCAAAGAACTTGCCCAATGAATTGTAGTGTATTGTGATAAAAAATTAAACACCAGAAGGACAACAGATTTGAAGGGCATAGGTTTTGATTCCTGCTTTTGATGACTCACCCACACTGAAGATAGCAAAATATTTTGTTTTGTTTCATTTTTGGGTGATTTGGTTTCTTTTTTTCTAAGGTATGTCCTGTATAACTGTACTCATTTACTGGTACTATAGCAAGTAATGCATTATTCTGGTACTTTTCTGCTTTACTAGCTGGCTGGTAGATTGTGTTTAAAACATCACAAGGTCTTTTCAGTGCTTGATTAAACAGTAGTTGCCACCTTCATTTATCCATATCTGCACACACAGTTCAAATCAAAAGACAATTTAAGGAAATAGATTGTATGAAAGGGGAATGATTGTTTTTACACACCCTAGCTTATTATAGGAGTGAACTGCACTGCTGACAGGTCACAATTACACAGATTGTAATGTGGTTGTTGGGTAAGACAGTGTTGTGAATTATTTATTGCAGCTAACCTGAGTTTTAAGTTTTTTTTAATTTTTTGGGGGGGGGTAGAGAATTAATTTTGTGTAAGAACTGGAAGTCACAACTAGATAAAAGATGGGCAGCATTTGCAGCTCTGAGGTTTTCTTTTTAGAGACTTGGGATATATATATATACAGGGTATAGACATCAAAATATTGTTGGTAACTAAAGGAAAAGCATTGCCTGTGTCTATAGTGTCACCGTCACCACGGAGATTAGAGAGTAGTTACTTTAGCACATACAGAAATTTCCTTAGAGCATTTAGTTTGTGTAATTTTCCTTTGTTTCAGAAACTCTCAGTACCTCATTGGCGCTATGTTGAGCCTGCAGCATAATGACTTCAGAAGCTATTCCACTTGCTGGTTGTGCTGAAGACTGGTGGCCATGTTTGACACCCTTTCTTCTGGTTGAGAAGTGCTTTGGTCTTTTTCTGACTGAGGGAGTTTTCTGCTCAATTACTTCTGCATTAGATGAGAGAAATACTTGGCTTGCCCCTCACTGATACTCTAGTAGAAGTGCTGATTCTTCAACATGGGAGTAGAGATATTTGATTATTCCAGGGGCTGCAGTCTTAGGACCATAACAGAGTATGAATCTTAGTACAGCATACCAGTAATTGTGGGCAACCAACTGAACATCCACACAGCACAAAAATTGGGTATTGGTTACCTTCAGTACCAAAAATACTCATTCATGTTTTATCCTCAGGATCAGCACAGGATTGCTGATGTTTGAGATTTCTGGTAGGAAGTATGCAGTAAAAAGCACCTGCTGTGTTGCTTCTCAAGTGTGGCGGTTATACTGGATTGTCAGAAACAGAACTTCCATAATGTTATATGATGACACATGGGGGCAAGCAGCTTCCTAATAACTCCTCTGACTTTGCTACGAGGAAAGCTGTCCTTTCTCTCATGACACAGATTTATTGAAGCATCTTTTCATATGGGAAGAAGATGAGAGTCTGGACTCTTCAACCTGGGGAAGAGGCTTGGGTGGGTGGGGAGGTGGATGTTATCAGTGTGCGTAAGTACCTAATGGGAGAGAATAAAGATGAGGGAGCCAGACTGTTCAGTGGGGCTCAGTGATAGGACAAGAGACATTGAATATAAATTAAAGCACATGAAATTCTGTCTGAACATAAGAAAAACCTTTTTTACAGTGATGGTTATCAAACATCACAAGGAGGTTGTCCAGGGTGGCTGTGAAGTCTCCTGTGGCAATAATCAAAACCCTCCTCGACAGCCTGTTTCAACTGACCCTGCTTGAGTAGGAGTTTGGACTAGGTAATTTCAAAAGATCTCTTCCAACTTAAACAATTCTGTGATTCTTAATTTCCTTGAAAAGCTGGCTTGCAGCTCGGGGTGTTGTGGGAGGCAGAAAGGGCTATTGTTGCCTTTATGAAAATGGGTGTAGAAGAGTGGACTGGGGGTGTGGGGGAAACACGGGGAGGATAAGGGAAAAAAAATAAAGGCCACCCCAAAGCAAGGAGGATGGCAACAGAAATTGAAGTAGGAAGGGAAAGGACTTCAAACCAGGAGGAAGGTTTGAAAGGATGGGAGAGGGAAGCATAAGGAGTAGAGGAGTGGTTGCTGGCAAACTTGCTGACACCTGCAGCATTTAGTCTTTTATGTAAAAGTGAGAAACACTTTATAGTGTGGAGGGTACTTGTGACAGTCCATAGTACACTTCTTGGCATGTATTATGCCTATGCTGGAGAAATTGTAGCATTTTGGCTCATTCATTGGTTCTGGTCATGATGGCTGCCTTGGGTTTTACACATTTGGTGGGCAGCTTCAGCAGCTTCCTGTTTAGTTTCTTGTGAGAAGTGCCAAAACCACTTTGCAGATATAAGTGGTCTGGATTAAGTGAAAATTATTGGGGGTCATTTCAAAACCATACTGCAGGTTTAGATTGGAAATAAAAATGTTAATGTAGATAGAGCAATTGAGTGGTGAGGTTAACCTATATTGGAGGAATGGAGTAAGACAACTTCGTGGAAATCATGCAGGTATTTTTTGAGTAGATTGCTTTTCTCTATAGAATGAAATATTTTGCACAATTTCCTTTTGCCACACAAGCAAATATAAGACAGCAAGTATTTATTTATTATAGAAGAATAAAGGAAGATCTTAGCTTTTTTGTTATATTGCAGCCCACAGCATGAGGGAACTAGTCCAGTCTGACAGTGCTGGTGGTCTTAAGTTACATGGCTTTTTTTTCCATTACTAAACGTATTTGCAAGGATGTCACATGAATTATGCCCTTTTCCCTTTCCACAGAAAAAGTCCAGAAAGTCAGTTTCCTCTTGGAGACAATTACAGATTGAATTATTTAGATACGTTCTCATCACCCATCAAGGAAAAGGTGAAGTAGGTAGCAAAGACTTCTTGTGGACTGTCATGCGTGCGTTAGAGGCAGAGCAAAATTGGGCACAGGAATGGGTCTTAAGCATTGCTTCTACATGACATTGCTTAGTTTGCTGAGAAGTAAAAAACTCATCTTACTGCCTGTATGGAGTTAAGCTAATGACACCCTGAATTACTCAGTGCCTTGCCCGCCACTTTCCGATCTTTCATTTTGGAGTTTCTTTGCTGATTGTTTATTACTGTGTTTTGCTTACTGTAATAACGGTACTTTTTTCCCCCATCCTGTACCCATGATTAACTTGATTGACCTTGATTCATATGAGACAGGTAATGTTGAAGAATACGTACCTCTCTGAAACAAAGGAGTGGGTGACCATAATTTGTGACATGTTAAGTCTTGCAGGTGAGGCAGCTGAGTTCAGACTAAAGCAACCTTTCTCAGTGATAATTAATAAAAGCTGAGCACATGCAAGGGCACATTCTCAAGGGAGATTGGTTCTGATTCACTCTTAGAAACTCAGTCCCTCTCCCTGCTGATGGTCCTGATTATTCTTTTCCTGCCCCTCTATCCTCCACATCATGCAGCTGAAATGGGGGTTGGAGTAGCACCCTGTGGAGCTGGAGGGAGTCATGTAGACAGCAGTACTGTGTTAAGCTTTGATGTGGCTTGAAGATGGAGGGTGAAGTTTCACAGCCTCCTTAAGCTGATCTTAAAGAATTGCCATTACAACCAACAGAGATTTTGTTGTAATGTGAAGTTGTCCAAGCTTCAGTGACTAGGGTCAGTCTTGTAGGCACTGAGCTTCTGCACAGGCCATTTTGTTGAGCTGGTCTCATGGGTTGCTGCCTACTGAAAAAGGTCACCTGTTTTGCTTTTTCTTTATGTAGGCTTTATGGTCATCTTTCCTTTCTTGTGCTAGCTTTAGCTGATTAGACGTTTCTGTGAGTTGTTTTCATGTGAGAGAAAGGTTTGAATTTTTTAATCAATCTGGCTTGCTGTTTCACCATTGCAGGGAGTTACAGCTGTTGAGAGACACATCTGATTAGTGCTGATGTTTTCATAGTACTTAACCAGGAGTGAAGGGAGGGCAAAAGGGAGAGGAATGACAACTCCTTCCGATAACGTTGAAACCACCCTACCTTTTATGTGTGACTGATACCTTGTGTGATTTACTTAAAGAAATAGGTCCCATTTCTGTAATCTTTAAAGCTGTATCTGGACTGCTGATACACCTGCTTCAGGGGATGGTGCCTGCTCCTCAGGCCCAGCAGTGTGAGGTGGTGACATTTAAAGTGGTGCTGGGCTAGTTTCCTATGGAACAGGCTGGCCATGTTGATGTTGAGTTATGCTTTGCCTTAAATCTTTTTTTTTTGATGCTGTGTGGTATATCTCTGGCTCTAAGCATTTTAATATATCGTGTGTGCAAATGTCTGAAGTGGAGAGCTGTATTGTGTGCGAGTGGTGTTTTTATGAAACTGAGGGTTGTGTCAGGTGGCCTGAGGTATGATGTGAGGAGATGTGGGAGTGTGGGATGGAGTGTGCTCTTCTGGAGTACAGCTTGGTGCAGTCTTGTTAGTGTGGCTTTTGGTGTGTGTTCCCTGGAGCTTTATTTTGGAAAGAAGGTTGGATCACTGTCTGAGGAGCGTGAGAGTAAACTAGCATCTATAATAAGTGGATGACCAGGAAATCAAGATCCAGGGGCAAACTAAGATGTGCGAAATTACAGACCTACCTGAAGAGGGGGTTTGCCCCTGTTAACTTCAGCTTGATTTATATAGCAGGTTCCCCGACTTGTAGGGTCACAAATAATACTTACAACTCAATATAATATATTGGAGTTGCTTCTTTCCCTTGGTTGTAGTATCCCACTTCATTTAAGCCTTTACAGAGGGCTGTGCACTGCTGTTGTTTCAGGTGAGGTTATAGTCTTAAGATGATTTAAAAAAAAAAAAAAAGTAATTTAATTATTGTAACTCTTTCTTCATATTTTTTGTTTATTTCAGGTACATGCAGAGTTTCCTTGAGCTTTTAGAATATGAAAATAAAAGTCCTGAGGATCCTCATGTTCTGGATGAGTGAGTAATCTGTTTTCTTGTGATGGTTCATTTTAAAATAATCTGTCACAAAACCATCAAATGTTTTTATACTACAGGATAACAGTAATCTTATTTGTAAGGTAGAATTTGTGCAGGAAAGGCCGAAATTGTAATCTAGAGCAGGATATAGGAATCTTATGCTTTTGAACAACATATTTTGCATTTGCGCAGTCTGATAGTTTAAGAAATAGTGTGAAATACTTCCTCCAAGGCTGTATGGAGAAGACAACATGCATGAGATGATACTTGCATATCAAATGTTTAGGATTAAAATATAATTTTAGGATACATTGAGCTTAGTACTGTTGCATATAATGTGTATCAACACATTAATACTTTGATTCCCCCCCCCCCAATTTGAAAACATTCAGTGTGTCAGTCACTGTTTTTATCTAAAAAGCTTTTTTAATGGGCTTCAATTATTGGTGTTCACTGAATAATATTGCTTATGTTTTGAGAAGGAAGGAAAGCTTAGCCAATTTTCTTTATCAACAAAATTGTATTAAAATTGTCATTAGAATGTTTCTTTGAAATTTATATGCTTAAGAAAACCCCCAGCGACATGTGAGTGAGAACAGGTATAACAAACATCTTAGAGACTTAAAAACAAAAAAGCAAAACAACCCCTCCCAGCACGAAGGTGTATGGTTACTGTGTACCGTATAGCAGCCAGCTTTGTTTCAGGTGATTACTTCTTGCAGGGTTTTTGTTCCATTAATTAGTTTTCTTAGGGTTGCTTATCTTTTTTTAAGCTCTGAAAATCTTACAGCGCTTTATAGGAAGCATTTTATAAAGCATCTTGCAGTCCAACAAATGCTCTGATTGTAGAAGATGTGGCCTGTGCTGTGCAGAAATTATGTTTTGCCTTCAGGTAGTTGCAGACACATTAACTGGTATGAAATGTTAGGCTAAGTAAGGGTTTTATTAGATAATGTGTTTTAGATGTTACGCTCTTTTGGTTGTGGTCATGTTATCCAAGGTCTTTACACTTTAAGTATCAAGCAGTACACACAGGAGAAACTGAATTGCATGAGTACCGGTTTCCCTGCGTGGCAGAACTGTAGAAGGAGCTGTAAGGTTTATAAACTGAGTGAATTGTGTTATTGAACACGGGGAAAGTGACTATTTTCTCAGTGCGAGTCCTAATCAGGAATACTGTCTTCAGTTCTGAGTACTTACCTATTAAGCAGTTAAAACACACGTGGATAGTATTGATATGAAGGAACAACAGTTGGAGACATGGATAGTTCCAATTCTGAGTAATGTTGAAGGCATTTATTTGGACTGGAAAAGAGAGTGATTGAAGTGTGAGACACTGCAAGTCTGAGTGTGCCAAAAGAAAAAGTCACCGTAATAAAGGATGATTGGTTGCTCAAAGTGAAGAAGTGGAGAATTAAAAAAATACCTGATTTTTATTTTAGTTGAGATTGTACACAGGGAAAAAAATAATAAATTCTAGTATTAGCAAGAACAGACTGAAAAAGACGGTTTCAGTCTGTTCTGAAAAAGCAGAATGCTTTCCAGAATGGGAATAAATAATTCCATTTTATTTAATAAATAAAATAATAAAAATTGGAGTATTCTCTGTAGAGCATTCAATTTTAAAAGCTTTTAGGAATAGATTAGTTTTTATTGATGTTCTAGGCAAGCTTTCTTCTGTAGTGGATAAATTAGATGAACTTTTCAATTACCTCTAGCTGTTACATTTTGTTATTCTGTATTTACGGCCTCTGCTGTTGGCACAAGAATTTCTGTTTGTGACTAGTTCAGTAGTAAGTTTTCCTATTGCTTGACTTAAAAGAACATTTTGAGTGGGATTAAGTTACCAAAACTTAGGTGTCTGTTGCTTTTTGAGATGGCATAAGCTGACCTAGACCTATAAGCAAGAGGTAGATCACGATATGTTTTAAAATGTTGATGAACAGTTTTCTTGGAGATCTGTTTTCAGTCTGTTCGTACTTAAAAAATTAATTACCTGAATCTGGCATATGAATAACACACATTCGTGATATTGTTTCATGGCAACTGGAAATGTTGTTTGAGATGATCTATATTAGTATGATGCACCAAATGATGATGGTGAACCAAATATTTACTCTTTCAGTATAACTGTTAACATACTTGAAATCTTGTGGTTATTGTATTTCTGTAATAAAGTACATATCATAAGGACACTGGGGAATTTTTTTTCTATATTCCAAGGTAGTCCAGGTATGGATTAGGACAGTAAGAGTTACCTTTATACTGAGTTTGGTCTGTGGGGAAAAAAGATGAAAGACTCATTAAAGAGCACATTTGTCTTCTTGCCAGTATTCGGTAGGCTACCTAAGATTAGAAAGTCAGATTTACTTTCCTGCTCTTTGCATGTTATCTATTCCTAGCTTTGTGAAAGCTGTGCTATTTAACTGGATATTGAGCCATAATAGCTACCATTTTAATATTCTTTGCAAACTGTTTATTTAAAAAATACTCTTAACTGTGTCCATGTTTATCTTGTAATAACCCACAGATAAATAAATCTAAAAATTTCTCAACTCCTGTACCAGTATTCCATGTTGCTGCTGTCTAGCTCTATTCTACTTTTATGCCTTGCAGTCAGTGGAGAAATACAGGGAACTCTACTAGTTAATGAACTACTTGGCAGTGGGGGGGATGGAGAGGGGACCAAAACAAACCACTTATCTGAGTTCACTTGTATTTACGTAACACTTTTCTAATATTTGTAGTTGCATGTATCATTTAATACAGAATTTGAGTCATTATCTGGGACTTTGAGTCATTATTTAGGGATGCATGACTAGGAATAGTATTTTTCTTCAACCAGATTGGTTTGCTTAGAAAAAGACATGAGGAAGTTCACTCTTAAGGTATGCTTGGTCATCTGAACTACAGGCTTTCTTGTCCTAGCAGTATCTCTGGTGTATCTCTGAGTACCTTGCATATAGTAGCATGTGAAAAGAGGTTGGATCATTCATCTCTTGGTTCCTTTTAGCTGTCTTATTCCTGCATTGAGCATGCTGTAGGATTGTGCTTATTACATACTAATACTATGTATTATATACTTCATATTACAGAAGCCCACTCTTGCATCTTTTGGTCATCGGAGTGCCCTGTGTGGTATCACATGACTTGGATGTTTCATAATGGCTCTTATCTCACAAAATCACAGAATGGTTTGGGTTGGAAAACATTAAGATCATCTACTTCCAACCTCCCTGCCATGGGCAGGGATACCTTGCACTAGACCCTGTTGCCCAAGGCTCTGTCCAACCTGGCCTTGAACACTGCCAGGGATGGAGCATTCACAACTTCCTTGGGCAACCCATTCCAGTGCCTCACCACCCTCACTGTAAAGAACTTCTTCCTGATATCTAATCTAAACTTTCACTGTTTAAGTTTAAACCCATTAACCCTTGTCCTATTGCTACATTGCCTATTGATGAAGAGTCCCTCTCCAGCATCCTTGTAGGCCCCCTTCAGATACTGGAAGGCTGCTACGAGGTCTCCATAGAATCATAGAATAGTTAGGGTTGGAAAGGACCTTAAGATCATCTAGTTCCAACCCCCCTGCCATGAGCAGGGACACCACACACTGAACTATGTCGCCCAAGGCTCTGTCCAACCTGGCCCTGAACACCGCCAGGGTTGGAGCATTCACAGCTTCCTTGGGCAACCCATTCCAGTGCCTCACCACCCTCACTGTAAAGAACTTCTTCCTTATATCTAATCTAAACTTCTCCTGTTTAAGTTTGAAGCCATTACCCCTTGTCCTACCACTACAGTCCCTAATGAAGAGTCCCTCCCCAGCATCCTTATAGACCCCCTTCAGATACTGGAAGGCTACTATGAGGTCTCCACGCAGCCTTCTCTTCTCCAGGCTGAACAGCCCCAACTTTCTCAGCCTGTCTTCATAAGGGAGGTGCTCCAGCCCCCTTATCATCCTCGTGGCCCTCCTCTGGACTTGCTCCAACAGCTCCATGTCCTTTTTCTGTTGAGGACACCAGAACTGTACACAATACTCCAAGCGAGGTCTCATGAGAGCAGAGTAGAGGGGCAGGATCACTTCCTTCGACTTGCTGGTCACGCTGCTTTTGATGAAGCCCAGGATACGGTTGGCTTTCTGGGCTGCAAGCACACACTGCCTGCTCATGTCAAGCTCCTCATGCAGCTCATGCTCATGTCAAGCTTCCATGCAGCTTCTCTTCTGGCTGAACAGCCGCAACTTTCTCAGCCTGTCTTTTCTTCCTTCAGTTTTGTGTCTTCAGCTGTGAGACTTGACTGGATGGAAGTACTTCAGGTTTTCTTTGGAGCTGAATGTAGTGCCTACCCCAAGCACTCAACCTGAAGGCTTACAGAGCAGTTAGGTTTTGGAAATCAAATGAGTGCCTTGGTGGTCTTCTTGCCAGCTGAGATGGACCTTAGTTTCTGTTACAGCTAATCAAAGTGACAGTGGCACAGGAGAGAAGGGGAGCTAAAATGCTCTTTTAAAGACCTTTGATAGCCACAGATGTGCTGCATCAGTGTTGGCAGTACTACTTCAATTAATGCCTCCTAAAACAGGGGAATTGATCAATTCAGTGCTACTTGTGTTATATCTCTGTCTGGGGAGTCTGCTCTGGTATTCTCAGAATTTGGGCACTCTTTCTGAGGATTACAGGATAACAGATATTATCTATGTACTGGCACAGCTGACTTTGAAGCCATGTAGTGAAATGAAATGGGAAATCAATCTAGTTTAAAAATAGCCCACTTTCAGTCCTGTGGTCCCTAAATCGTTATGCTCTCTGGCCTACAAAGACAGACAAGGCAGTAGAGAGGGTGAATGGTTAGAAGGAGTAAGTGCAGAGACTGAACTAAAGCTGATGTTTCTCAGAGTGGCCCAACTTATCTCTTCTCTTAGTGTATGAATTTGAGGACAGATACTATGTTCATGAGTGTTCCCTTTATGAATATGAGACAAAATACTTTAAAGGGGTTTTTTGTCTTGGCATTTCTGTGGTGAAGGTTCAGAGGTGCTTCGGTTTCTTTGTTACGTTCTGTTGAGTAGCAGACCTTATGAAGACATACTACAGTGTCACCACATTACTGTCACTGCTGGTAGTATAGGCATATGCCAAAAGGTCAGGTTACTTTCGCTTTTTTGATAACATATATCTTTCCTCAAGCTGCAGAGTGGTCAGGTGTTCTGTCGAACAGTATGATTGAGGAGTGTTGAAATAAGGTGTCCACGCTCAGCAGAGGTGGTAAGCTGGCAGAAGTCTTGGAAACTTCCTGTGGTATCAATAAAGCATGCGGAGGCAGAAGTTGTTTTTAAAGAATTAACTGCTTGTAAAACGTGCTGTTCACATGTACTTTCAAAGAACAGTTATGGGTACAGGCAGTGGAGTTTCCTTGCTGGTTTTTCTCTGCGGGAGGGTGTGTGTGGGAGTGTCCTGGAACTGAGAGTGACTTAAGCAATAAGCTGGCAGTAGTCTAGAGATAACACATAGACAAGGAACTTAGTAAACAAGGAATAACTTTCCTTTTAGCAGCACTAAGATTAAAATAGTGCTTCTGTTAGCGATTTGAAATAAGTAAATATTTGAATAGATTTGATTAAGAGGCTGCATTTTTTTTTTTTACTTTTCAAGTAGTGTGAAATACCACTTCAGTTAGTTTTGCACTTTGCAAGTAGCTACGTTTTCTAGTAGAGAAATCTTTGTGTGAATTTGTCCCTGTCTTTCTGATGACTCTCAGCTTCCAGCTAGCACTTCTTTAAAAAAGGGCAGCCAATCAAAAAAACCCCACTGCATATCTGTTCCATTTAAAAGCATTATTTTTCAGTCTACTCATCACTTTCTTGTCTTTCATCTTTCAGATAATGCTAGCCATTAAAGAGACACAGCAAAATTCCCTTTGTCTTTATATTGACTTTCTTATGACTTCTTGCACTTTGATGATAGATCAAAACAGAATAATATGTACAGTCATTAGGGAGTTAAATAATAACTTGGTTTGTGACATTAATTGTCTTTGCAGAAGTCTGTAGGCTTAGCTTATTTAACAGCAATTGTAATGCCTTAAATATTCTTTTGTTAATACAGAAACCACTGAAGCTCACTTGACTAAAATAGCTTCATATTAGTAATTTCTCATCTGTCAAACCAACTGCATTATTTATTCATTGTGGTTTTCAGAATACGGTACACTGACTTCTGAAAAAAACGAAACAACCAGTAATTGCTTAATAAAATTTTCAGAGCTATTCTGGAGTATTCCCTTCTCCTCCCTCCCCCCCCCCCCAATCCCATGAGCATTTTAAGAAATCCTTGATATGGACTTCCACGGTTTGAGTATGGCAAAAACTCTGTGTCTTTCAGGGGTATGTGGGGTTGGGGTGTGGTAAGGAGTTGAGTGGGAAGATTGAGGAAATTCTGCCTTGCTGCTTTGACATGTGCCTATATATACTTCATGTGTTTTGGTCCTTTAAAAGTGTCTGCTTGATGGAAACACTTGAGTGAACTAGTTATCTTCGAAGATGGAACTGGAGGTTTGACATATCACTGCAATAATGAAGAATTCCTTTATTGTGTGTATTTGCACACTAAGCTTCAGCTATGATTTGGTGCTGGTCTGTAGCAGATGAACCTCCTGATCCTGTGTTTGCCCTTCAGCACACTCTGTGCATTTAAGCGCTTTGGTAGGATGTCAGTGAATGCTTTGCCCTCATGGAGCACATTAGCATCATGTTGTATATATTGTGGATAGTGGAAGTATTTAAAAAAAAATAGCAAAGCTGTCAGCAAACAGCAGTTAGGAGAGAGTGTTGTGAGTTGCCTTTCAGATGTGTTGCTTCTCTGCTGTGTTCTTAGCTAGCATCTTGTTGTTCTGAAACAGAGAAGTAGCATGAGTACAGCCAGCCACTAGTCTTGTCTTGAAAACTAACATCAAATCTCAGTGGTTATAGATCACACAGAATCAAGACTTAACCATAAAAAGAGTTCTAGAAACCTTTTAAACATTAAAAGATTATGAGCTGTCAAGTCAGCAAGCTTGCTAAGAGAGCAGCCATTCTGTACCGTGATAGTATTTAGACTGGAGAATTAGGCAGTTAAAACTTCCCCCTTTCTATGCACAACATAGTGTTGAAAGACTATTGAACAGTTAACACACAGGCAAAAACTGGTGGTTAAATTGAGGATGATGAAAAACTACAGAAACCGAAACCTACATTCCTTTAGAGCTGGCAGTGTAGAGTGGGAGAAATAATTTTGGGAGTGTATCACTTGTTAAGAATGGTATGGTGTACTGTCAGAAGGTTGTCTTGACTAAGGGGTTATGGAAAGGAAGGAAGCAGATGCTTTAAATGTGACTAACTGGTAGTCTTTTACTTTTTGGGTGGTTTTCACCCTGCTCATTGGACTAGATATCTGTTAAAGATCCCTTCCAACCCTAACTATTCTATGATTCTAATAATACGTTTTAATATTCGTTATAAATCCACCGAGAATATTCTGCCATTGATGTTTCTTTAAAAAGGATCTGTAGAATTGTAGATACACGCATAGCTGAACAAGTCTCCCTGCTGTACTTTCTTTTTAAAGCTGTGTTTCACTGTGTGCTTTTTTTAAAACAAGATCATGTAATCATTCTGGTGTTAATACTTATTTAATATTGGAGCATGTAACACTTGAATAGTACTGATTTTCCATGTCTAGGCTTTAGGAAGCTATTAATAATTAATATTTCAAGTATGTAAGAGTTTGCATGTGTGGGACAAAAAGGATGAGCTCTTTCAAGATCATAGGCATTGAGCTGCCTTAGTAGGAGAAACAAAAGTCCTCCAAGCTGTTTCAAAGTCAGTGTGTGCTTGTAAACAGCCTCTTGTTAATAGCAATGCGATCTTCTAAAACTTTCCGATACCAGAGAGAGCCCATCAGAGCACCATTGTATGCGCTCTGCCATCCAGTGGTCTAAAAGGAAACTGAACACAAGTCACACTGATGATAATTACCCATCCTGTTACTCAAATTTACAGGACACATGCAAGGTAAAGGAAATGCATTTGAAAGTTACACTGCACAGGTTGAGGTGCTGGGAAGTAAGCATAAAACTTATCAAATTACAAAGGGCAGTCAGGTTGGTTTTCCCCAAGCTTCTTCTCCAGTCTCCCAGCTACTGTTAGAGAATGAGTTACCATGGTGCGTATGATAGCAATAAAAGAGAATCTTTTGTTCCTTTTGTTCTCTGCTAATGGTGAAGAGAGATTTAATTTGAAGGGATGCTTTGGGGAGGAGTTGAAAACAGAAGTGAGAGGTAGAGTTTAATTATATGTCTTAACAATCTGTTTCTAATTTTGTTTCCTCTAGCTTTTTAGATGTTTTAATTAAAGTCAGGAACAGGCACAATGATGTGGTTCCAACCATGGCGCAAGGGGTGATTGAATACAAGGAAAAATACGGCTTTGATCCATTTGTTAGCAGTAACATCCAGTATTTTCTAGATAGATTCTACACGAACCGCATCTCTTTCCGTATGCTTATTAACCAACACAGTAAGTAATTGCCTTTCTCATCTTTGAGAACTCATTAGTTATTGCTTGTAAACCTGAAGCCGTAGCTTGTTTTTATACTTATGACTAATTCTTAATATTTGGTGCTAATTATAGTAAAAGTATTCTGGCAACCTGTTAATTTTATTCTTTGCAGTTATCGGAAATGAATCCAAGCCAGCAGTGTGCTCTCTTCTACAACTGTCAGGCTTTGTCAGTGTGGCTGTCACTTTTTAACTTTGTTGGCAGAGAGCTTGGGTAGTGATGTGTAAACTATTTTTAGATGATAGTGGAGTAGCTGTATGTTTCTGCTCACAAGTCTGTCAACATAGTTTGTAGAACTGACGTTTATTCCATAATGAAATGCAGTGATGCCATAAATTTTGAATAGGTTATGCACTATATGGATTTTTACTGGGTTTTTTTTTCCCAGCAAGTTATCTAAAAAGGTTGAGTATTTCTAACTTAAAACTTAAGTTATATCCCTTGTTTTCTCGTACTTCTTATTCACTCTTTATGAATAAATGTTAGAATTAGTTGTCTGTTGTCATTAGGTTCTGTTTCATTTGTTGTTACTAATAAACTTACTTTTTTATATTCATATTACAGAGTGAAAGTTGTTACTTGCACAGCTCCTACTAACCAATATGTGCAACCATGCAGAAAGTGATCTATATAAAGTTAAGGACAGTCTTGTGATCTCTTTAGTGTATCTTTTGTCTTTTAGCTCTAGAGCTTTATTGTCTGCCCAGTGTTCCGCTTTTATGAGCTATTAGAAGCTGTAGTGCGCTACAGATAATGCAGACACTAGATACTGTAGTGGAAAGTACTTTACTACAAGATGTGTGTCGTTCCAGTAACTTTTAATGTGACTAACAAATACCTTGCTGTGTGTGTACAAATAACTTCAGTGTGGCAAAGCACACAAAATGAAATAAATGTGCAGCTTATTCTTCTACCTGGGTAGACAAATAACAGGCATAAAACCAAGTTAAGTTAAAAGGCTCCCACAGAAGAGTTCTAGCAGTAAGTAAAAACATTCTCCTAATAGAATTCTTGGTCGAGTGCTAGCATAATTGGCACTAGTTCTGAAACGTTAAACTTAATTGAACTGAAATGGCTTTTCTTGTGGACACTCTTATTTAACTGCTTGAAACTTAAAACCACTTACAGATGCTTCAAGTTTAGTTAATCTTGTAAAATTTTTTGATGGTAAGCAGTGTTAGTGATCCATCCATTTGCCATGATGGCAAATATTAATCTTGAAACACTGATGAAGACAATAATTGGAAAGCAGGATGCAGAAATGAGGTTTTATGTAGTTTCCATTTCTTTCATACATTGACAGGCTGTTTCTTACAGTGCAGTTCTGAAAGGCACAGTGTGCCATTGTGTTACCTCACCATGACCAGAATAGGAAAAGCTTTCAGATCTTGTCATTTGCTCACCTCACACTGCATCTGTTTCGTATCAGAGGTGACTAATTTGCTAAAATAGTAGAAAATCACTTCTGCAAAAAAAGCATAAAGCCTTTCTACTTCTTTGAGAGCTAAACTCTCCCTGAAGGATCTGGTGAGTGCTAGATCCTTTTGCAAGGAGGGGGTAGGGAGCATACTGCTGAGAGTCAGGGAGAAAGTCAAGTGAGAGACACCCCTGTGCCAGCTGTGAAATTGCAGCTTAGGTGAGTGTAAAAGGCTTTTAATGCTGTCTTACAGTTCATCAGTCCTTTTTACTATAACACTTCCATCGTTGTGAGTGCTTCTGTTCTGACATGATGGTATGAGTGAAGCATTTTACATTTTAGTGTAACCTAATTTTTGATAGCCCACTTTGAAATGTAAGTTTTCTGCTTTAACCCTCCCCACACCACTATTTCTGTTTTAACTAGTCTTAGCTGTAAATATGAAAAAGAAAAAAGAAAACAGAGGAGGGAGGCAGGTAGTCTTCCTAAACAAGGATTCTGGCAATTTTTAGAGTATCTTTTTACAAAAGATGCACTATCCAGTAAGTTTCAGACACCATCAGATTTAAGCTTTCTGGGTTGCCTCAAGTGTGATAGATAATTTACTGCCTTTTTTTTTTTTTTTTTCCTTTTAGCACTTCTTTTTGGTGGAGATATTAATCCTGCTCATCCCAAACATATTGGAAGTATTGATCCTAATTGTAATGTAGCAGAGGTGGTTAAAGGTAAGATGATGTTAATGTGTTTAAAAAAAGCATCACAACTTAGAATATGCAGAAGTATGTTTTTGAGATACAAGAGACTGAAAGTGATTTAAATTAATTTAATAAAAGAAGAGATGGAAGTTCTGTAGTTGCTTGCAGCAAAGCCATGGGCTTATTGAGGCTTTCTTATGTCTTCATTATTGAGAATGGAGAAATTTTAGGTGTTTTAATGGAACTGAGTAAACAATGTTTTAATTACCTTAATCTGTCCTTTTAAATATCAGATGAAGTATTTTAAGTGTTTTGTTAAACTTCAGATGTTTTCTTCCCTAAAATACTTAGAAGGAGGTTCTCATGTACTGCTTATTTTATCTGATGCTGGTACTGAAGAAAATCTGAGAGTAAGTGATGTTTTCCAGTTTGTTTAGTTAGGCCTTTCAGTAGAACATCCTCAGATGTACAGATATTCCAGGGAAACGCCTCTTTGCTATGTGCATCTGATCATACCACAGCCCGTTCTCTCTTTATACAGAAGACATGTATGTGACCTGAATGGCGCTCGCATTAGAAATACTGTGTGCTTAAATCCTGTTCACGCTCTTGAGTGTATCTATTTACAAATACAGGTAATTATGTAGGAGTGACTTCCACCCTCTATCCTTCACTGCTGTTTGTGCAGCTGCAGGAGGGGAAGAATGTGTTTCTCCCCTTCACTTTATCTCAGCCTTTGGTGAAGTAAGAGGGAAACCTTTCTTATGTCAGAATTTGACCTGCATGATAGCTTGCTTTGTAATGTAGATGCCTTTTGCTGTTAGGAAGGCTTCTTGGCTTCTAACTCTTTCTTGTCTCTAAGGCAGCCTTTTTTTCAGCAGCTTTCTTTTCTTTTGATTGATCTTACTCCACGTTGACCTCAGTATTGTATGTGTTAGTCCATATGTTTGAATCCATTTTGACCATCAAGTTCATAGTTGCTGCCTTGGACAGAGGAATGCATAGTCTCAGAAGGTGCTCAGCCCAGTTTTCAAGCCAGAGGCTGAAATAGATCTTTCACAAAACAAGGGTATCATAAACAGTATGCAGTGTTGTCTTTCAAAGAAGCAAGAAGTCCGTAAAAACAGCCTGTTTAGCATCAAGGTGATTGAGGCCATTTCCTTACACATTGGGTGAGGGGTTAATTTACATTCTGTATACCATGCTAGCTCCAAAATGTTCTGGTTCACAGGCAGCATTCTGAGCAATTTGTCAGAGTTAAGATGTTGATTTTTTTGGCACTGTATATGGTTGCTACAAGCTCTGGATGCCCTTGAAACACTGAAGAAATTACTTAAACAGTTACTCCTTATTTCAAGCAGCTCTGTTGAGTGTTGTAACTGCCTGAGGTGGGTCTCTGTCTCACTGACTGTCTTTCAGTAAGACTTCTGAGTTGATAGCAAATCCAATCTTGGTCCTGGAGCCAGGATTTTAGATGTACTGATAGGTCTTTCACTCTTGTTGCTACTTACCTCCAGCCACAACATGAAGTATGCTTTGAACTTTGCAGTTTGTTTCATTCTTTCTTTCTTAGAACTTTGCCAGAGAGTTGGCTTTGAGAGGAAGGTAAAATGTAAGACTGCATTCAGACTGTTTTGGCAGTTTTGCTCTGGGCTGGGTATTTTACTGGATCATGAAGTGGTGGCTCCTTTCTGTTCATCTCAAGAGCGGTAACATGTCTGCTCCTTGAAAATGAATGAGAGTTTGGCACAGAATTTGGGGAGGTTAAATGGATTATTCAAAGCCTTTTGATTCTTTCTGGGTTTGTATAGTGGCTGTGTCTGCATCCACATCTGTGGATTAAGGCTTTTTAATTTATTCTCATAGTTACCGATTTGCTTTTTAGAGGCCTTGAAGTTTTTTTCCACAATAGAAATCCAACTCCTGCCCCCAGGATCCACATAATTTTTACTTCTATGATGTGGAAACTCTTTGAAAAGTGCTAACATTTCTGTCTCTGTGTAGACGGCCTTATGGTTATACTAGCTTATTGCTGTCTTCAGCTTTTGATGACTGAGTAAAGATTGTGGCTGTGCTTCTTATTCCCCTTTTTTCTAAAGCACAGAATTGGTTCTAAGGCCATGGAAGTTCTGAGATAATCTTAGAATGTCATGTAAATGTAGCTGTTCCTGCGTATTTTTTTCCTAACTTGTGCACATCCCAGGCTGTGGTTCTCTGTACTGCTTGGGTATTAAATGGGATCTTGATCTTTTTTAGTAGGACACGTTTTATTGTGTTAATGACAAGACCCTTTAGAAAGTGGCTGGAGCTGACCATCTTGACACAAAAGATTCCTACTGGATAGCTGATTTTTGTGAGACATTCCCAGGACTTGATCAAGAAAAGTTCCAGTATTGATTAGCCCCATTTTACTAGACCTCCAGCAGCATTGGTGTCAGCCTTGTGTGATATGTGCAGCCCTGCAGATGTCAGAACAACTGATAGAAATGGTTTTCAGATAATAGGGCATGCTATAGATGATTTCTGTAGACATTGTCAAGGAGTGCAATTGTAGGTAACCAGCTCTTTCTCTGGACTAGTGATTTCTCTTTCTTTGTGCTTGTCACATAGCTTTGAGTCTTGGCAGTGACTGTTTTCTTTTGTAGTGTCACTTTGGACAGGAGTAAGAAGGTACATGTGGGGTGAGGTCAAATGCCATTGTTACGGTATCTTAGCAAAGTTCTTTGTCTGCAGAACTGCCCCTCTTTTTGTGTGCTTGCTCATATCCCATACTTACTTGTACTTATTACAAGGAAGCCACTTCTGTAAAGGTAGCTTAAGCAATGCAGCTAGAACATGCTTGAGTTTGTGGTTTCTTTAAGCTAACACTTGCTGCTTGTTTCTAAAATATTTTTGCAAATGAGATACCAGTGAATATTTAGAACCAGTAAGAAAGCTTTCAAACAAAAGATGACTTAAACTTTCTTGCTGTATCTTGACAATACATAAACCCTGATTTGGATTCTGAGGAGGCTTTTAATTTTTCTTCAGTAGGAAAGAATGAAGAATCTTAGATTCCAGCTTTCCCCCAAAAAGACCTTGAAAATCAAGTATTGTAAACAGCATTGTGTTTGGAAAAAATGAATTTGTGGTTGCAATGTCATCCTTTTTTTGTTTGAGATGGAAAGAACAAGCATTAAATTGTGATCAGCACACGACAAATAAGTAGATGTTACGGTCAGCCTAAGATTATACCCTTCTGGTTTTCAAGCCTTGAACAAAGATGAAAAATAGCTTGTCTTTACTAACATGCTTTTGTTTGCAGAGTTTTAAGTAGACGTTGCCCTTTCTTGACAAAAGGGCTGTAATCATACAGAGAGAAAACGATTAGAGTGGATACCAGTTTCACACTTGTAAACTAGTTACTAAAGTGAACATTCTGCTTGTCGTCTTTCACATACAGGATGAACTTTGCTAATCCTCTCTGGGTGATTTTAATCAGTGTTCTGTTGTTTTGTAGATGCTTATGAAACAGCTAAGATGTTATGTGAACAGTACTATCTGGTGGCACCTGAGCTGGAAGTTGAAGAATTCAATGGTAATTGTGAAATTAAGTGATGTATGTGGGAAAAAGCATTTCTAATAGCTGTGACTTCTAGTTTTGTTGAATAATTGTAAGTTACAATTTGAACTCTGCAGTCCTGTGTTGCAGTTACTTTTCTTCTAATGTGTCTACATGGGCACCTGAATTAGAGCTTCTCATCGCTGTATGCTTACTTCTTGATGCTGAATGTGGAGTGCTAGCTGCTATATTTGCTGTCACTTCAAGGAAAATAAAGTGGTCAGGAATCCTCATAACTGGGAAGCAAACACGCCTGCATTCTAATTAATCTTTTAATAGAGCTGAAGTTTGTTTAATTTTGAATCTGTCTATAAATTCCACTGTCAGTCTCTGCACTAGTGGTGGGCTTTTCTATGTAAGGTGGGAAAATTAGATTACTTATTTTGTGTAGCCTATGCTTTAAGTCCTTAAACTTCTTACATGAAAGTCTGTTTCAAGTTGATTGCAAAGGTGAAAATTCAGCACTGCAAAATTAATGAGAATAGATTTTTGTTCATAATTTCTATTGACAAATGGTAGATTATTTTTTTAAGTTGAAAAATAAATCATCTTGAGCGATCCTCTTGCAAATTTTAGATAGCTATCCAAAGATAAGACTAAGATGTTTCCAAACTTCATCAGTAGAATTGCAAAAGTCTCAGAAACGGGTAACACTCACTGGAGTGATACATGGGAATGTATGTTGCTTAAAGTGCTAGTTAATACTGTAGAAATACTTCTCTACACAAAGCAATATTGTCAAGTCAGATGCATTACTACCAGCCCCCTCTCCCAAAACCAAAGGACCCAACCTTTCCCTCTCCAAAACTGAGTGATTTTGGAGCTAAAAGTAGAGTGCTGCAGCAGAGGAATCAATGCAGAAATTCATTTGAAGGCCTAAATAAAAAGATCCACAGTAGAGAAAAGAAGCTGGTGGATCTCAAAAAAAGAAGTGAGGAAAGAAATACTTATTTCCTTTAAACTAGCTTACTATCAAGATGAGGAAAGTGGCTTTGCAGATGAGCTCACAAGAGCAGCAGTAACATGTTTTCTGTGTATACTCTATGCCTTAAAGCAGTGCGAATCGGTCTGCCTTCATTTTGGTGCTGTATAAGAGAACTGGAATATGGACTCTGACGAAATTAACATAATAAAACAGCAAGTTGCCTTGCAACTAATTATGCAGAGCATTGTTTTGGTTTTCTCCTTTTCCTAGGAGTTTTCACTACTGTGTCTCTTGACGTAATAACTGGTATTAATCAGCCCTCAGTGCCAAAAATGGTAAAGATGACTCCAGTCACATCTGTCTGCACACATCAGTCTGTGTGCATGTTTGGTTTTTTCTGCAGTTTATGAAGCAGATATTCAAAGACTTTTCTTCAACCTGAACTTCTGCTGAGTCTGACAAGCTAGGACTGTATAACTGAATGCCAGTAGATATTCAGAGACTGCATCTTCAGCACCAAGACTGTCCTGGAATGTATTAAATGCATCTGTAGTATTTCTTGCCAAATCAGTCAGCACTCTAGCATTCAGAGCTGTGCCAAACTGTACACCTCTGCAGAAACACTAACAGCAGGGCAATAGTGGACAAATAATTCAGTTATGATTTGGGATAAGAAAACTGTGATAGTGTTTGAAATACATTTTGAAAATTTTTGAGTACTTTACACTTTGTGTTTTAATTAAAATTAGTAGTTGTTTTTAGACTATTTAAGCAGTTTTGTGGGTTTAGTGTTTTTTTGATTTAATAATCTTTCTGTGCAGCAGATACCATGCTTAAATATTGTGTGTGTTAAGAAAAAAAGATTTCACATTCTAGTGGGAAAGTTCTCTTGGCATATGTTGTCAGTATGAAACCAACCATTGTTCCCTGAAGTTTCATATCTAAAAGTCTGTTGACATAGATGTCTTTGAAAATCATCATTAGAACATGTTACTTCAGGGAAAGGAGTAACTGAATTTTATGGTTTTACTTCATGGGGCTAATGTTGCACATGGAGAATTAGAACATGCTTACATACTTGTTTTTGGCTACAGGTTCATGTTAGTTCTGTAGATAGAAATGCTACAAAATACTGGTTTTAAAAAAATTTTCCTGTTTGTTTTGTTTTGTCTTTTAGCTAAAGCTCCAAACAAGCCTATTCAAGTAGTCTATGTACCTTCTCATTTATTTCATATGTTATTTGAGTTATTCAAGGTAGGTTGCACTTATCATTTGGAAGGTTTTGTGAACTTACGCTACTGTTGAAATTGAGATTCTGCTCAGTTACAGCTCTTAAATGTCATTTCAGTTTGCTTCTTAAGCTTATCTTTAAACAAGCAAAAAGGGTTTGAACTGTAAAAGCTTAGAGTCCTCTCTTTTATGCCCTTGTGTACTTAAGAAAAAAAAATCTGGTTTCCCACTTAAGCACTTTTGCAACTTTAAACACTCATGATAGGTTTTTTCGATGGTATGCTCATTACTTTGCAATTTTCATAAGCTTGCTTCTTTACTGCATATTTGAGGACTGCTTAGGGTCAGTGTCTTTATTATGAAAACAGCTTCTATGTCTTTGAATAGTGTAAAGAGCATATTTTGGTTTTATTTGTGTTTTCTGAATAATTAGAACAACAGTGAAAATAGAACATGAGAGCTATTGTATGTTTTTGAGTAAGACAGGTGGTCTCTAAGTGGTGCAATTGAACACCAGAAATTCAGGGGGAAAAAAATGCATTTGGTCAGAGAAACTTCCTAAATAATGGTATTGTGGGGTTGGTTTTTTTTTTTTTTTTACATACATTTGTCATGTATGTTCATTTAAATTTTCCCCTGCTTTGCCATTTGTTACATTAGTTCTAGGGCAGAACAGATGAGAATTTCTACATTACTTCTAGGTATGTTTTGGTATAAGTCATGCAACAGTGTGAAATCAGTAAGTTGTAGCTGTAAGTATTGCTCATCTGTGATGGACTGGCAGTGGAAACCCTGCTAATAGATACGATAAAGTCAGATTGATAGATGGTAACTTAACAATTGTGTGACCCAGGCTGAGAAAATGCAATCTTGTTCTCTGTGGTGAACATCACTGTTGGTGTTCCGCAAGGTGAAGGATGTTGTCATCCATTATATATAATTACTTGATTTCACACAGTGGGGAGGAGGGGTGGGGTGGGTGGAAATCACTGCTTTATGTTCTCTGACTCTGTATTAAATAGGTAAATGTATAATGGAGTTCTGATGTAAAAGTTTAAGTAGACAATTCATTGACTTGAAAGCACTTCTTGAATTTGTTTTAAATATGGCCTTTTCTTTCTTGTATGCAAATGCAGGGAAAAGTATCTAGATTCAACAAAATAAATGCAAATTCTAAGTTGTCACAGAAAGCATTTATGTTAAAGTTAGAATCAAAACCAGTTATTTCTGTTATCTGTAGAATTCAATGAGAGCTACAGTGGAATTGCATGAAGGTAAAAAAGAAGGCTATCCATCAATCAAAACCTTAGTCACTTTGGGAAAAGAAGATCTGTCTATTAAGGTAAATGTCTAAAAATAATATGCAGCATATAAACCTGCTAGGTTTAGAATAGTATGACTTGTAATTTGAAAAGGCAAATTAATTGTTGTATCAGTTCTGACACTTCATATACATCGGAATATTTTCAGTTGGAAGGGACCTACAAGGATCACCTAGTCCAACTGCCTGACCAATTAAGAGCTGACCAAAAGTTAAAGCATGTTGCTAAGGGCATTGTCCAATGCTTCTTGAACACTGACAGGCGGAGTATTGACCACCTCTTTAGGAATCCTGTTCCAGTGTTTGACCACCCTCTTGGTAAAGAAATGCATCCTCATGCCCAGTCTAAACCTCCCCTGGCTGATGCAGCTTTGAACTGTTCCCATGCATCCTATCACTGGATCTCGGGGAGGAAAGATCAGCACCTCCCTCTCCCCTTCCCACCTTCAGGAAGCTGTAGAGAGCAATGAGGTCACCCCTCAGACCCCTTTTTTTCCCAGACTAGGCAAACCCAAAGCCCTTAGCTGCTCCTTTGATATTTCTGAAGTCATTTACGTGATGCTACTGGACTTGCGCAGGGTTTTTTCCGAACATAATGTTTAAAACTCTTTAACTTTTCATTCCTTAGATAAGTGATAAAGGTGGAGGTGTACCTTTAAGAAAAATAGACAGATTGTTTAACTACATGTACTCAACAGCACCCAGGCCTAGTTTGGAGCCCTCGAGAGCTGTGCCTTTGGTAAGCAATTGCAGTATGTGTTTAAATGTCCCATTAAACTACTCTGTTTGCATGTTTCCTTTCACTACAATTTACTGGATCAGGTTTTCCAGTGAAGAAATTGTTTAACAAGAGAAAATGGGTTCTGTTATCATCACATGATCTTTGGAATAGAAACCAGCTTTTCTTTGTCTTAACATTATATTCTTGGAAACAAGCATGCCTGCATAAGCACAATATTTTCACAGCTTAGTGGACAGGATTTTTAGTGCTGTATTAGTGAGAAGGTGGCTAACCTAATGAGCTCCTCTTTGGTGTGTAAATTACTGTTGATCTAAGTTTCCTGTAATAAATGTATTGAAAGGGTGAGCCCACACTGTCTGAATTCTAGCACTTGAGAAGCACCTCCTGGTAATGCGCAAGCCTGTATTTGAACTTTGAAAATTATTTTCATATAAGCTATGGACTGTAAAAACACATTTAAAAATTAAGAGTTTCCCAAACGTGCATGTGATATGCACAGTTGGTATGTTCCTGTTCAGCTGGAAATATCTCATGTGATATTCCCTTCTGCATGTATCAGCATCAGATTTCAACCAAATTTCCCCATAGTTTCTTCTAAGCATAAAATTATTTCAGTGTTGAACACGTAGATACTTTTAGCAAGCATAATTTTCTAAATTAGTGTTAAAATTAAATTATTATTTCTAAATTATGTTGTTTAAATTACATATTGACTCATTGTGGTAGAAATGATACAGCTACTGTTCCATTTGACTGGTTTTCAAATAAGTGGATTAATACTTACACTCTATTGCCTCTTCTCATTCTTGTTCTCTATAGCTTCTGATGCAATCCTTTATCTTTAGACATGTAGAAAAAAAGCTGATTGTTTTGAGAAATTTCCTTTCCCTATTTAAGAACACTCATGTAGCATAATCGTAAGTTTTTTGGTTTATTTGCGTGTTAGGTTTTTTCCTTCCCCTGCTGATACTTCTGTGTGTGAAGTGCCTTCAGGCAGCTATTAAAATATGGCACAGAGAGAATGTGACTATTTCTGTTACAAAATAATTAAGAGTGAGCTGAGGATAAAACCAGTTCAGAGATAATGAATTGCTTTTTAGATTTTTAGCAGAAAGTCTTTGGTACTATTAGTCCACAGTTCGTAGCATTGTGGCACATAAGTGTATTGCCTTGTTTTCACCAGTGTTTGATGCCACCACAGTAGGTGTGAATCTCAGTTCTGTGTCTGCATTGAGTTGATACTAATACTTCACAGCTCCTACCTCTACAACACACCTTAGTAATATATTTCAAACTTATGCTTTTTCATAGAAAATTTTCTTGAATGGGATGTGTGATAGGGGACAGGCCTTAATTCACACACAGCCTTTTTTCTTTGTCACAAATGGTAGAATCTTGATTCATAATCTGCCTTTGTTCTGTCTCACTTTTGATCAGCAATTTACTATATCAGCCTACAAGGATTTCCTGAAACTTGTTCTCACTATAAACTTATACCTTGATTACCAGTTGTATTCACTATTAAAATATCTCTTCCTTTATGGCTCTCTGATTGTAAAATGTGTTTTTTAGGATTGACACTACTATTTTTTGTGGGTTTTTTTTTTTCCCCTGTGCATCTTTAGCAGTACATTCCTGTATTTATTTCCTCATCTTCAAGACCGCTTACTTTGATTCAGTGGCATTTGTGCTTAATATTCTTTTGCTGTACCCCATTTTCAGGCCTTGCTTTCCTCTTCTGTCTGTATGTCACTGTAGTCAGACCTGCAAGGTACCCCCCCTTCCTGTGAACCTGGCAGCTTTTGCCCTGTGAGTCTGACCCGATGCCTGTATATGACTGAATGTCAAGAACAATTGTTAAGCTTCATTATTTACATGTGTGTGCAGAAAGACAAAAATCAAGAACTGGGTGTCTGTGGCATATCTTTTCAGTAAGAGAAAAAAGGACTGGGTAGTGGAGCTTGCTATATTACATATTATGGCCCAGATCCAACTATAATTTGTATGTTAGTCTGGAAATAATGCTTCAGCAGAAAGGTTGTGCATACATCCTCTTTAAAGTTCATAGAGAAGGAGAGGTTTTTAATTGCTTAGTGCCAAAGACCAAACCACTTGAGAATTACGGTGCTCCAGAAGGTAGGTGGGTATGTGCTTGTGTCATTCTGGCTTAGATAATACACTAAATTGCAGTGCAGTGTAGTCATATTTTTCTGTTCTAGCACACTCTTCCCTTGCTGTATGATCCCCTGTGTAGTTTATGAAACATTCATGGACTTGGGGAGCAGAAGAGAGGGATCTTTTTATTGATGAGTGAAAATTCTTTCTCAATGTCATTGCAGATATTGTTAAAAACTTCCAAGAAACCTTGTGAGCATGGAAGCATTCAGATCTTAGGTCTTGTGTTCTTCTGTACTGCTATACGCATAGTGAAAACGTTAGAAACACATGGTAATGTGTAATGAGAATTAGGTTTTCTTAAAGAATTATTCTCTCCGGCAGCATTTGTTTATTGTGGGAGAAATGTGGCTTAAGTTTAATTAAATCTGTAGACACTAACACAGAAATGTAATAATTTTCTATTTGTATAGTGCATACTGTAATATTTAATGAGAAATTGGCTCTAAAAAGATTTTCCCTCTCAAGGCAGATATGCCATCACTGACTATATTCTGTCCTTCAGGTTAAGCACAGACCTACTTAGTAATGGCTTCTTAATGTCTTTTACAAAATAGACCTTTTGCAGGGTCTTGCCTTAACAAGGTACTTACCTGGGATCTGTTGTCTTTGTATTTCTTGTAAGTTACCTGTTTTGGAAAATACCCTGAAGACAATGTAGAGAAAAGGTGGACAGGGCATTTTTGGAAGAAAGCAGTATGAAATAACGATGAGGGCTCGCACAGAGCGTAAAAGGACTTTGCTGGAAGGGGCAGGAGGCAAACAGAAGTTGGGCATGGATTTTAAGGAAGTGTAATTCTGGGGAGAGGAAAATATAATGTGTTTTCAGGATTGCTTAATGCTGCCCTTCACTTGAGCTGTTCCTGGAGGTATGTACTATCTACAGTTTGCCTTTTGGTTGCTGTGCTTTTTAATTCCTGTAATGTATTATCTGGTCTCCAGAAAAGATGTAAGTCAGCTTTTGGAACTATTTTTCCTAGATCTTTCTGAGATACTCAAATAGCTTTCGTTTTTTTAGAAGTTAAGAAATGCATCTGGTTTTCAAGACCAGATGTTTGAAAGTGATGCATGTATCTCTAATGAGAGACAGAGAATTATGTGCTTAAAGCACACTGTTATTTGAAGAAGTGCCGCTAAGCAACTGTTCTAACTGTGGAAGTGGACACTGACAAGTAGTGTGAGTAGGGAAGGGCATCTTTGGCATTTCTGTTTTTCATGTTGCTCAGAACTGCTGAGTAAGAAACTAACCAATTTAAGATCACTAAATTTAGACTTCTGTAAAAACAAGGCAAAGAGGTCAAAAGATACTGTAGAGATAATAGATAACAGCAAGAGAATTTGTGATGGTGTCATGGTTTAAGCCCAGCCGGTATCTTGGAACCACGCAGCCGCTCGCTCACTCCCCCCACCCCTTCTTCCCCATGCTCCCAGAGGGATGGGGAGGAGAATCAGAGGAATGTAACTCCCACGGGTTGAGATAACGGCACTCCAGTAACTAAGGTATAATACAAACCACTACTGCTACCAATAATAATGATAAGAGGAATAACAAGGGAAAAGGACACAACCGCTCACCACCCGCCGACCGATACCCAGCCCGACCCGAGCAGCGATCTGGGCCTTCCGGGTAACTCCCCCCAGTTTATATACTGGGCATGACGTGCTGTGGTATGGAATAGCCCTTTGGCCAGTTTGGGTCAGGTGTCCTGCCTCTGCTTCCTCCTGGCTTCCCCTCCTCTCTGGCAGAGCATGAGACTGAGAAAGTCCTTGGTCAGAGTAAACATTACTTTGCAACAACTAAAAACATCGGTGTTACCAGTGTTGTTCCCAGACTGAAAGTCAAAAACACAGCACTGCACCAGCTACTAAGAAGGAGAAAAAATGACTGCTGTAGCTGAACCCAGGACAGATGGATATTGTAGTACAAAGTTCTTAAATATTCATCCTTCCCTCAAGGGGTTTCCTCTAAAGTGATACTACATAATACCTCTATATAATGCTCACAAGTCTTTTCTTGGTCTACCCTGGTTTTGGTATCATGTGAGGGCTTTGTTTTGAAGATTAAGGGCATAATTTTCAGTTTTCTGTCAGGTTGTCTTTGTAGAAATATTACAGTGGAACGAGTTTCTTGGATTTCTTGTAATCCACATTCGTAGAAAAATTGTATTACTCCGTACAGAAAAATTGTATTGCCTTGTATATCGTTCTTTTCAAATGTTTGTGTGTCTGGAATCCTTCCTTTATTGCTTTGGATTGTTATGAAAAATTCAGAGGGTGGTTGGGTGAATAATTGATCACTGTGATTCTCAGCATATATCCAGTCATCTGAAAGGGGTGTTGTGTAATTCAGTCTTACTCGCTGGCTGCAGTGAGAGAGGCTTGGTGATTTGGTTTGGGTTGGGTTTTTTTCTTACAACTTCTGACAGGAGCGGGTTGGAAAAGGTGCCAGGTGTTGACTTTGTGGCAGCCGCACTTGTGAATATTTAGTTCTTCAAATTTAAAATCTAAAATTTGTACCTGTTATCTGTTATGTTTTGAAAATTGTGTGGTCTGTACAGGGTCACAGTCCTCGGTAGATCCTTCAGTGCTGTGGAATTCTGATATTCTGCTAGATAGGTAAACAGCAGCGAGGATTATTGCTTTGTGTGTAGTCTTCTGCAGTGGTCTTCTGATCTGTACTGCAATATGGCATCAGAAATCACTTCATGGCGTGACCTAGATGAAGTAAACAGAGTTGTCTCTGGCTTTTTTGCGTAGTCTCCTAAGTTTTGAGACATTTGAGAACAATAATCCTAGGCTTGGGGGAGAACAAACATGCTGTCAAACCCCTGATTTGTACCAAAGAAAGAATGGAGTGTCATAACAGTGGCAATCATTGAGGAAGAAGAAGAGAGCATCAGTTTGCTTTGATTGGAGGCAGCATGTACTATATGTTACACCTATCCCTCTCTGAGAAAATGCAAAATGGTCATGTTAGTCCTAAGAAAGGATGCTGATATTTTTTCCTTTTTGGTACCTAAAATAAAAAACGATGCTGAGAGGGGAAAAAAGATTGCTCAAAAGGCTGAAGACCAGCTTACAGTGTAGGCTGAGTAATAAAGCTTGAAAAGGATTTTGATGCAAATGTAATATTTAGGTATCATCTATTTTCAGTGATATGTGGCTTTTTGAACTTTCCATAATGTTTTTATTTCCTTGGTTTTGTAGGCTGGATTTGGCTACGGCTTGCCAATCTCTCGTCTGTACGCTAGGTACTTTCAAGGTGACCTTAAACTGTACTCCATGGAAGGTGTTGGTTCAGATGCTGTAATTTATTTGAAGGTATGAATTTGACCCTTTTATAAGCTAGTAATGTGATGCAATTTGTTTATAGCTGGCTGAATAAGTGACCTTTCTCTCTTTTCACTCTTCAGTTTGTTTTAAAATTGGTAATTGCTATCTTCATTATATCTTATCTAAATCAGTTACACAGAACCCTAAAACTCAAGTATTAACCTGGCACTAATACTAGTTTGCTTTCACTTTTCAGTCCCCAGTTTTGGATCTTTGCATTCTGTTAGTCCATCATCAGTGCTGAATTTCCAAAGAACTGTGTGATGAGATAATTTTGGTTAATGCTTTGATCCTAACAGTTCTGACCACAACAAAGCTGACAGGACTGTTGACTAACTTCTGACTAGTTCATATTCTTTTTCTAGTCAATTCTTGACGTTTGTGCAATAGACTGTATTGATCCTGTTGTCATGTTTTGGGAGATCCCAGGCTCCTTAGGGGCTTAAGGTTGAAACTAACTGCTTGAGTTTCATCAGGGAATTTAAAAGAATATAGCATATAGCTCACATGCAGGTTATTGACTTAGTGTTGTCACTGTGCCTTGCTGTATGTAGTGACTGAGTTGTGGAATCCTGTGCTAACCTTAGTTTCTGATGGGTTTAATCCTGTGCATGTATGTGTGGAGGAAAAAGGTATGGCCTTTCTCAGTGGAAAAAGGCGTGCTGATGGGCTGCACTAGAACAGCCCTCCCAGATCAGTGTGCTGACAGAGTCCAAGTCTGCTGGACAAGTGAAATGTTAGACTAGTTGTCTGCCCCATGTCAATGACAAATCTCCCTAAAATGTTTTTGACCAAAACATTTTTCTCACTATTTTTGTAGACCTTGCTCCTTGGAAAGAAGCAATATATTTGAAACTGCTACTATTTTATTTTAACTTTACTTTGACTAGTACTGTGACTGTGAGTAGAGCGATTAGTCACAGCTAAAGTATTTTCAAAACAGTGTTGTGACATGTAACACTTGGGTAATTGACATGCTTGTTCAATACAGAACTTGTAACTGTAGAACTCCCCAGAGTATCATCTTGCTCTTGGTGTCTGTGATGATATCTCACCATTGCTTTTGTTTTTCCATAGGCCCTTTCAAGTGAATCATTTGAAAGACTTCCCGTTTTTAATAAGTCGGCGTGGCGACACTACAAGACCACACCTGAAGCAGATGACTGGAGCAATCCTAGCAGTGAACCAAGAGATGCTTCTAAATATAAAGCAAATCGATAATTTGCCACCTTCTGTCTCTTAGAGATGACCTCTGCATTCAGTATAAAGTCTCTGCTTTGTTCCAAAATCCTTCAAACCGCAGTAGCTAATTACTTCCAAACAAAGACCTAATCAGGGCATTGAAAAATACTAAGAACAAAGTGATAATTGGGACTTAAAGAAAGGCAGTAAGCATGTTTGGTATGTGAATCCTGTCTACTTCACCCGAATATGCTTGGTTGCTTCAGTCATGCATTGACAACAGGGATTGCACTGATTGCACTTCAGAATGCAATGTTGTAACAAAAAGATACTATTTGAAATAGCTGATTTTTGCTCCAAGGTAAGGATTGGCCAGATGTGCAGAATACCTTTAAATGATGAATAGTATCTTGCACAGCAATATGATATAAGAGAAAAGTTCTAATGTAGTTAAACATATGTTTGAAATTCCACTCTGCTGCATTTTATATTGCACAGTGTCACCTGTTACAAAAAAATCCCTTTGAGCTCTTCAGATCTTGTATCAAATGAGCTTCTAAATGCATAGTTCTAAAAAGGGTTGTGCAGCTTTAAACTGATGCTTTCCCCAAATTCCAGATCCATTTGTCAAGTGCATTCAAAAGTTATGTTGTTGTAAGACACTGGGTTTTCCACTTCTTGGTATGCACCTTCATGATTTTCTTGACACACAAACACAGAAAAGCATTTCTATACATTTTTCCTTGTTTTGTGGAAAGTAGTTGGATCATCTCTCCGTATAAGGAATTCTGTTAATCCAGGGGCAGGGGGTAATTCAATTTCATGTTTATTGCCTATCATTTTGGGTTGGTTGGGGAGGGGAAAGAAATGCTGAAAGGCCAGACAGCCAGTCATACAAATGAATTTGCCTTAAGAGTGTCGGCTGCTTGGAACCAGATTAGTTTAAAACCTGTAAATAGTTTGCAAAGTTATTTATATATTCAATGTCTGACTATAGTCTGGTAACCTGAATTTGTAGTGTATATAAAGATGTTGTACACCAGCTTTTGGAAAGTGTCATTGGTCTAAATACATGAAACTGGAGATACCATAGAAATGAGAGGGACGAAAGGTAGCTTGTACCTGATTTAAGGAACAAAAAAAATCAAAGAGAAAACCCCTAAGTATTTTCCCTTTAAATTTATTCTAAGGGTTATTGCTGACTATTAGGAAACTGTTCCTAACCAAGTCTTTGCCAAATAATGTTTCTGATACTATGGCCTACTAGAAAAAATTGTGAAGTTTAGAAGTTCTGGTGACCTCCTAGCTGTGGGAATAAAGTAGATGAGTTGTGAGCAACTCTGATGCACCCTCAGTTTCTCATAAGTGTTTTGATACTTTTTTTTTTTTTTTGAAAGATATTGCAGATTTTAGCATGGAAAAATGAAACTTGTTTACTAAAATTGTGGGGTAACTGGCCCTTTTGTCCTCCCAGTATTTATTTTTATAAAGAATTGATCTATTAAACAGGGAAATGCTGAGGAATTCCTAGGTATTTTGTAAAAAATAAAAATCTTAGTTTGACTCAACGATAGTAGTTTGCACTTAAATAGCACATTTCATCAAAGGATTACAACATGCTTTGAGCAATAAACTTCACATATCCCCATTGTTAGAGTCCTTACCTTACAAACCCTTGACTTCCATCTGTTGCAGTCAGTTAAAAGAATTTGTATGTGACTAGTTCATGAGTTTGCAGGGCTTGAGGCTCTGTGGGCTTCTCTACACTGTACAGGTGAGTCACGGTGGAGCACCAGGTTGTTTTGAGTGTGCTCCCATACACATCTCTGAAGTGCTGCCATACTGTTTGGAGGTGGAAATACCAGGACAGCTGCTGAAGGCTGTCAGGTTCGTTGCCTGCTAAGCTGTGCCCTTCTGAGCCCCCTCTGCCAGCAGATAGGAAGAAGAATCGTGCTGATAGGGCTGTTCTGTTCCTGAACCAGACTCATTTGATCCTGGCTAGTGGATCTTTACATGGCACGGAGAGGCTGTAACGCCTGTGGCTTCTGGAGCAATAATTTCCCACTGCTGCAGAGAAGGCAAATTGCTACTGAAGCGATACAGCTATGCTGCTGGGTGAAATCAGAGTAATAATTTGACCAATACACCACTTGGAAGTCACAACTACTAAAATTTAGTCACTTGACTTGTGCCCTCACCCGTAACTTCTTACTGTTTTTTAAATTAATTTCAAATTGTGTATGCTTTGTAGTGACCACAGAGGAGGGCTTGCTTAAAAATAGAAATTTGTGATGAAACTAGTATTTTCCCAGTTGTTTCCCAGTGTATGGTCAGTTTTTCCAAGAACATTTCCTAAAATCTGCTAAGTTTTTGTAAGAAGCTAGTTTTCACTTTTGTTAGAAGTCATATTTTGAAGCAGTAAATCCTGACCTGGTGCTTCTTTTTGGCTGTCTCCTTATGCATGAAGAGAGGAGGGACCAGAAAGAAAGGATGCAGGTATATTGAACTTGTTTTCATGAAATGAGTATAAACCACGGAAGCCAGTGAATGAAAGCTGAAGATGCTGTGGAAGATATTATGATATATTAGTCATTTCACCACTTTGTTCACAAAACCAACTGGCTGGCTTTCAGGACTGAAGTGCTCCAAAATAGCACTTATTTCCAAGAACCTTGAGTCTGTACTAACACCTTGAAGCAGGAAGGTAGAGCGCAAGGAATGTATTTTCTTTCCATTTCCCAAGGTCTGTTTGTGGGCATTATGGTGAATATGAGAAGCCACTTTTCTTTCCAACCTTGTTTAAGCAGCCGGTGCTTTACTGCAGGTCCCAGGTATGCCATAAATTGTTCTTCATTTATAATCCTTGTGCCGTGTTTCTACATAGGGGCAGTAGTCTGAAAACTGTCTTGGGAAACACCAGCAGCAGACCTTCGATTAGGAGAGGGTTTTTCAGTGGATTTTTAGTATAGGTCGTTTAACTTCAGATACTGATCTTTGTTCAGTTATTTCTATCTTTGATGGGAGTTTGTTCCAATTATTTGTTTTAATATCTTGAGGCTGTTAATACCAAACTTCCTGATGATATAAAAGTATGTTTCTTTTTACAGATTTCAGATGTATGACTTGCTAATGTTGCAACCTGCTTGTCTTGAGTTACAAGACACATAAGTAGGGAAAAAGTGTTTTCAGTGAAAATGCTTTGTATTTGTTGTGTTTGGTGATAAAAAGAAACAAACTGAGCAAGAGATGTTTGCTCCTTGATTCTTCCTGAGAATTTACAAACAACTTCTATGTGTTGTAGTGTAACAAATTGTTCAACTTTTTTGTCCACTGTGCATTTTTCTGGTGTTATGTCTTGTGCGTAATCTTAATAACCCCCTGCCTAGTTTAATATTAATAGATACTTCAGTATCTTGAAATCATATACTTGTTTGTGCTCCCTGCTCTCCTAGGCTTTGTTTTGAGGCTGACAAGGGGTCTTTCAGAATCTACACTTGATAAGAAACATTCAGAAGATACTGAAATGCTTCTTTTTCAACTCAAATGTAGTCTTTGCCTCTGTACTTGACTGTGGTGACCTAGGATAGTACTGAGGAAGTTTTTGTGCTGCTGACTGCTACCTCTTGGGCAGTGTTTAAAGCAGGTCCCTTGGCACATGCTTAAAGAGTACGGATATTAATTGTCGTGTTCTTGGAAAACTCAAGCTACTTCTTGGCTGTGTAGGCAATACTTGCTGCTCCAACTGGATAACATACTTTCTTTGTCTTCAGTGGCACGTAGAATTTGCTTTGAAATAGCAGTTCGCTTTCTCCAAAAAGTGAGCAGGAGTGATTGTGCAGTGCAGTGCAATCTCCTGTTCACTTCCACCCAAACTTAGTATTTAGGGTGGAATTTTAACCTCATTGATGTGGAAGATACTTCCCCCGCCACCTTTCAGTAAGCACTTCTAGATCCATACATGTTAGGTGCTGCAAAGTGCAAAATAGTCTTGATTGGTATAAATTTTGTAGAAAACAGCCTCTACGTTTATTGTTAGTATTTGTCTCTTGAGGGTAACCATGTGTGACTGTGCAGTGTTTCCTTGCGTGTTTCCTTGGCTGCCATTTACATGCTGTGGTTTCTAATAGCTCTTCACCTCTTCTGATGAACTCACCTGCCTATGAATTGATGTATATAAACATGCTTTTGCAGAACTTCAGAGAATATGATGGCACATGGCAGAAGGATGTGTTACTGAGTTCAAAGGTGAGTTTATTCACAAATGAGGAGCACAGTTACAAGTAATGTAGCGACTTCAGGGCTGAATCTTGCAAATACTTGCACAGGTAAACAGTGTATGAGTCATCCCACTTAAATGGATCTGTTCTCAGGATCTGGACTTACTTCAGCTGTTGACATTAATTTGAAACAGTGAAGATTTCTGTAACTGAAGTGGCTTTCTAATTAAAAATAAATAAGAAAATTTATAGTCCGCGTGCTTTAATTGCAGCATTATGTTGCCTTAAAAGATCTCAGAAGTCTGCATAGAGAACTTGTTTGTTTCTTAAATCTAGAGATTTTTTTCAAATGTAGTATCAGAAGGATCAATGTCTGTGATAATTCTGACATTGTCAAACTAGTATTATTTGCTTTATTAAAGTCTTTCCTTTGAACTGAATACTGCCAAAAGGTGCCAGATTGACAGTCCTTTGTAATTCATACCCTTTGTAGATCACGACCTGTAGGCAGTGGAGGGCATGTTTCCAAGTGACGTGCTATTGGGGCTCTCGGCTGTTAAGCAAGGGTTGTCCCTTATGTGAGGGTCCTGCTAGCTGTTTCACACTTGCCATCTCGGATGAGCTTTTAACAGTGTGCTGAACTTGTGTTGGGTTATACGATACGAGTTTCTGACGGGGGTGGAAATCAAGTCAGTTTGTTCCCGACATTGGTTACGGAACAGGACTCTTCCTGT